ACTGCACTCTTTTTTTCTCATGATGATTTTTTTATTCCAAACGAATTTTTTCATTATAAATTTTTAACGAGACTGTACGTAATACATCATTAATAATAAATAATTGTGGGGGAGTGCTATGATATAGTTTGATGATAATTTATTTGTTTTGTTTGTATTAATAACACCGACATAACTACTTTATAAATAGAGTTCTTACCATTTCTAAATAACACACATCAATAAGAAACAATAATGTAAGGTAATGATCAAATGAACATTACACAATGATGTACATGGTATATAAAGGAGATTACACGAGTGATACTAGGTTAATAGTAATTACATATCAATCCAATATATATCATTTCTTTATATACTCTACATCTCCCCTCAAGATGGAGGAGCTTTCGCCACTCCAATCTTGTTACAAGGTTCATTAGACCGAGCATGAGACAGAGGTTTTGTCATAGCATCGGCGAGCTGATCCTTTGTTGAGACATAAGAGACACGGACAGCACCGGATTGAACATTGTTATAGACGAAATGGTAGTCGAGTGCCAGATGCTTCATTCTGGAATGAAAAACAGGATTGGCACTTAAGTATGTGGCGCCGACGTTATCAAAGTAGATAACTGGAGCTATAGGCAACTGGATCCGAAGCTCAGTTAAAAGGAAACAGATTCATCGGAGTTCGGCAGCAGTATTAGCTACAGCTCGGTATTCGACCTCTATAGAAGATCATGCTAGTCCAAAGGTTTCTTCGACAACCACGATATCAGGGTGGAGCCTAGGTATATGATATAGGCATTTGTGGAGACATAGTCATCTGTGTCCCCTGCCTAATCTGCATCGGAGTAAGCATGTAGACAAAGAGGTGAGTTAGCTCAAAGAAAAATACCGTGAGAGGGAGTGCCAGCAAAATATCGTAACACTCGCTTTGCTGCCTGCCAATGTTCGTCGGTGGAAGTATGCATATACTGGGAGAGTTCATTCACTGCAAAAGCAATATCAGGCAACGTAAATGCAAAGTATTGAAGGTTGCCGATGACCATTCGATACTGACTTGGATCAGTGAGTGGGTGCCAGATTTGATGGAGAGTTTCAGATGAGGAGCCATCGGTGTTGAGAATGGTTTAACATCCATCATTTTTTTTTTTTGAGCAAATCAAGGACATACTTCCTCTGCATCAAATGAAGGCCAGCCGAAGTTTTTTGTGCCTCAGTTCCTAAGAAGTAGCTTAAGTGGCCAATATCTTTGATTGAGAACCTTTGAGTGAGCTCAGCAATCATCATATTGACAAGAGTGTTCGTGATACCAGTAACCACAATGTCATCCACATAAACCAAGATATAAACGATGTCTATACCTCTAAGGTATGTGAATAATGATGTGTCAGCAATGGAGTTTTGGAAGCCATCAGATATAAGAGAATTTTTGAGTTCATCATACCAGGCTTTGAGAGCTTGCTTTAGTTCATAGAGCACCTTGTTGAGCTTGCAAACATAGTCTGGGCGATCCTGATCAAGAAAACCCGACGGTTGTGTGATATAGACTTTGTCCGTGGGTGTGCCCTATATGAAGGCATTATTCACATCAAGCTGTCGTATAGGCCAATTTGATTGAACCGCATGTTCCAACACCACCCGAACCGTTGTGGACTTGATTACGGGGCTGAATGTCTCCGAGTAATCAAGACCGTATTGCTGATTGAATCCATGAGCCACCAATCAAGCTTTGTATCTATCAAGATCACCGCTAGGAAGATACTTTAAAGTAAAAATCCACTTCGTCAGAATGACATTCTGAGTTGGTGAAGGTGGCACCAAGTTGAATGTACCATTTCGACATACAGCATCGAACTCCAAGGACATCGCAAGGCGCCATTTTTCATCACGCAAAGCCTGAGATACGGTTGTGGGAATTATAAGTGAAGTGGAGATGGTGAGGGATTTTGGTTTGAAGATGTGATTTTTAGCACGAGTGCTCATGGTGTGGGTATTGACCAGTGGGATTAGTTTTGGTTTAGGGTTGCGACGTTATCGTCGTCGTGGAGGATTTTGTGGTGGTTGTGGTAGAGGAATTATCGGAGGTGAGGTTGGGATGATATTGGTTAGGGCCAGTTGGTTTTGTGTTGGGTTTGTGGTTATTGAGCTTAGGCTTGAGATATGTAATGTATATTGTGGGTTTTGAGGGATGCCCATTACTACTTTGCTGATATTTTGTGATGGCGATGTGCGATGTCCTGGAGATGATGTTGATGGCGGAGAGTCGTCCACAGGTGGTGATGACGGAAGAATCGGTGTTGGTAGAAGGTGAGGATCTTAGCTCGGAGGCGTGAAAGTAGATAGTTGTACGAGTGACGGCGTGGGTATGGTTGTGGTCAGGATTTGGGGAATTATAGCATCCGTAGCATTATCAATGTTCACCGGAGTTGGAGGAATGGCAAACGGGAAGACATTCTCAACGAACTGCACAAGGCGAGAGACGTATATCTGACCAGTTGACTTGTCTAGACAGAGATACGCACTTTAGGTAAGGGAATACCTAAGAAACGTACACGACGCGGATCTCTGATCCAACTTGTGTTGAGCATAAGGACGCAGCCAGGGGAAGCAGAGACATCCAAATACTCGTAGCTGCAGGTAATTCAATGGCTGCTGAAATAGTCTTTCATATGGTGTTAAATTGTTGATTGTCGGACTTGGAAGACGATTGATGAGGTACACAGAGGTTGAGAATGCATAGGTACAATAGCTCGTTGGAATAGAGGATTGGCCAAGGAGTGTGAGGCCCGTTTCTACCACATGTCGATGTTTGCGTTCGACAATGCCATTATGCTCCGGTGTATGAGGTGGACTGGTGAAATAGGCGATCTCATTGGCAGAGAGAAATTGGCGAAGAGCAATGTACTCTCCCCCGTTATCCGAGTATAAGGTACCAATCTTATTCTTAAAACGTTTTTTGGCTAAAGGCTATAAAGGTGTCTCGGGTTTGGGATTTATTTTTGAGCGGGTAGAGCCATGTATAACGAGTGTAATAGTCTATGATGGCAAGATAATACTTGTAGTTGTCAACCGAGTGTATAGGAGAGGTTCAAACATTGCTATAGAGAAGTTCAAGCGGATGTGTAGATGTTATTGTATTTGTTGAAAATGGTAGTTTGTGGGTTTTGTTTATGAGACAATTTAAGCAAGGCAAGTGTTTATTCAAAGAGTCTGAAATAGGTAATGAAAAATGAGAGACAATGGTTTTTAAAACAGAAAAAGAGGGATGGCCAAGACGGTTATGCCAAGATGAGACATCGGTTTTGGGTGCAAGGGAAGCAAAATGGGAGGATGGGATGGAAACCGGCCACTCGTACAACTCATTCTTGGTTCTGCCTTGCAGCAATCGAGCCCCCGTGCTGAGATCCTTCACCTGAAACGAGGTAGGGAAAAATTCCACAGAAACCTTGTTATTATTACATATACGGTATACTGAAATAAGATTTCTCTTTAAATCAGGTACACATAACACATCACGCAAAGCAAGTGAGTGAGAGTGTGTAGGGAGTGAGAAGTAACCAATATGTGTGATTGCCAAGCCTGTGCCATCGTCAATTGTTACGTCCTCTCCACCATTATAGGGGTGATGAAGTGAAAGGTTACCGAGATCAGAGGTAAGATGATGAGTTGCCCCACTGTCCATAATCCAATTTCCAGTATTGTATGGTGCAGAAGCTAAGTGTGCTCTAGGCTGCCATGTTGCTTACTGCGAGGAAGTGTATGAACCAGCAGCTTGGAATTGAGGACATCTACGTGCATTGTGGCCCGTCACTCCACCAATCTGGCATTTTCCAACATATGGACGTGGTTTGTGATAGGACGGACGAGAAGCATACGGTTGCTGGTTCTGCTGCCAGTTGTTGTGCCGAAGAGGCTACTTGTTGTTGTTCTGGTTGCGGTTGGATCCCTTGTAGTTAGCAGCGTTTGCAGTGATCGGAGACAATGGTGAGGAAGGGACCATGCTTTAGAGTTTGGCTTCGTGATTGAGAAGCTTTTCATGGAGCTCTGTCAACGATGGTGGTGAATCGCTTGCTTCCACTTGCTCGATGATGGTCTTGTAATCTTCAGAAAGTCCTTCTAGAAGAAACTCAATCTGATCCTCATGATCAATAGCTTTACCAAGCAAAGCAAGTTGATCAAACTCGGTTATGAAGTCTTGGTAGTATTCATTGATTGATTTGGTACCTTTTGTCCAGTTCTTTAGTTGATGCTTCAATTTCTTGATATGTCCCCTATTTGGCATGGCGTAGGTTGAGGTTGATGTACTCCATATCTCGGCTGCAGAGGTGTTTTTTGACAGGAGAGGTTGGAGCGTGTTGGTAATGGCACCAAGAAAAGCGCTATAGATCAACCGATCTTGGCGTTTCCACAAAACATAGCTGTGATTGGGACTGACAACCCCATCGGTGGTACGAAGCGGTGGTGGAATCACCACAAATCCATCCAAGTGACCAACGAGTCCGTAGCCGTCAAGGAGAGCGTGGGCTTAAAGACTCCACATGAGAAAGTTGGAAGCATTGAGCTTGGTGACATTAGTCATGCTGACACTAAAGAGTGTCAGAGAGTCAAAAACTGATACAGTTTCAGCAGAGTTGATCGGAGTCTCAGAAGCTGACATAATTCAAAGAATGAGATATAAGAAAAAGTAAAGATGACGGCCAAAGGGAAAAGAAAAATATTTAAGTATGCAAATATCACTGATGATCAAGTGATACTAGATTAATAATAACTACATATCAATCAAATATATATTATTTCTTTATATACTCTACAAATAATACCATCTCTCATTTTCTCTCTAATTCAGACCTCTACTATTCTTTTTCTTTTCTCTAAAGACAAACACTATATATATATATATATATTTACTCATATTTTATCTTATATAATAATATAATTTATAACATAAACGAGTTTTTCCCTTCTTATTTTTTTGCATAAACCTAGTAGAACAAGTGTTTGACTATTGAGAGAGAGACTGTATTTTTGAATTGGCATGTGGGGTCGAATCCTGGTTGGAGTAGAAGCCCAATCCATTCATCATCTACACATTTGGATTTTAGGTGATATGGTGGGCCTTATGGGTTTCATTTATAGGCTTTCTAATTTTATAATGGGCCGATACATGATCCGTTAGGTCATTTTAAGGTTCCCTATAAATTCATAATATCTTCTAGTGTCGCCCAAAAGCATCCGTAGCTGAACAGATCTCCGCTTTCTCAGGTTAGCTTCTTTCAACCGGCCGATCATCATCTATCGAGATAGTTGATTTGTACTCGCTGTTTTTTGTTTTCTCGTTGTTACGTTTGTTATTGATTGAGTATTGTTATTCTAAGGATTGTCACAGAGATGGCGAAGTCGAAGAATCACACGGCGCATAACCAGTCAGCGAAAGCGCATAAGAATGGAATCAAAAAGCCCAGGAGACACCGTTACACTTCCACCAAAGGAGTAAGCAGTGACTCTCTGGTTTTACAGTTAAATCCAGATTCCAAAATATTTGTTTCTATCGGAGTTTGATTTTCCTGTTTTGTGAAATGTTTCAGATGGATCCTAAGTTCCTGAGGAACCAGAGGTACGCCAGGAAGCACAACGTCAAGAGCGGCGAGAATGGTAGTGGTGATGAATAGATCGTTTGATCCGTCTGCGAGAGACGCATTTTAAGGTTTTTATGTATTTTAAGACTTTTTGTTGTTGTTGACAGAGGAACCAATTTTATTGCAATTCAGATTACCTTATTTTGCGAGTTTGTTGATTTGATGAAATTAGACCTTAAAATTGATCTAGTTTTATTCAAATATTGCCTTTACACTTATAGTTTCATAAAAATACTGAGAATTAATCTCTATCGCGAATCACATGTTTTTTCGTCAATTGCTTGTGGGTTTAATGATTTTTTTATGAAATCCTAAGCGTTCTTTCTAGTCCCGTTGGTATGAAAATGGTCATAATTGAATAAATTTCGTTCTTGAATGCTAGTGTTAATATCATTTACTTCATGGACACAATACCCCATTTGCCAAAATGATCAGAAATGTTAAGGCCAAGTATGATATTAAAAAACACGAAAATAGTTTCGACAATTGACTAAATAGATATTAAAGAATTTAAATCTGTAACCGAGCTAAACTAAGAACAAATGTTCTCAATGTTTTGGGTCGAGCTATTTCCCCATCGTAAATATCATATAGCACTTTATCTATACAGATTTTCCTTGTTCCAATTGCATCTAATTATAAAATTGCAAACCCAATTCCACAGAGACTTTAAGAAAAAATTTTGAGAACGGAATTACACTTATTTAGGCTAATGTTGGTTTATTGTTTATCAATCTTTCCAAAACCATATTTCGACCAAACAAACCTAAAATTAAATCGATTACAAAGTTGGTAAACCTAATTACCCGATTTCAAAAATAAAATCAAACCAGAAATCTCAATTCTGCGATTTGCTCTTCCACTCACGAATCCTAGAAACAATTTTGAGATTTTTGATTCTTTGTGTGTGCGAAATTATTCACGAAGAACATTGTGAGATTTGTTTTCGATTACTTCATTGTGTGACCGAAATCAATGGATCTCACAGATTGGTAGAATTGGCACGATGTTCCTGTACTTCCCAACGAATATGATTCTGAAGATGATGAGGCAATGGAGCGAAATGCTTTCCACATAGAGAATGCTATAGATGCATTCACTGATGAGTATTCTATCCGTCACAACGTGTATCCGGAGAGTGAGAGTGAGAGTGACAACGAGAGTGATGCTGATAAAGAAGATGAATGTTCAAAGCCGAAGAAACAACGAACTCGGGAGCGTGACCGAGTGAGAAGAGGGAATGGTAATCTATTATTCGGGCAAATGTTCTTTAACGGTGTGGCGTTCAAAGAATGTGTACTCGATTATGCTCTGAAGACGGGCTACAATCTGAAGCAAACTAGGTACGACAAAACGAAGCTTTCATATGAATGTGTAGACATAAATGTTGATTCACAATGTGAGTGGCGTATATATTGCTCGAGTAGTGGAGAACCTGAGAGATGGCAGGTTAAGGTTTTCACGGATAAACACAATTGTGTTCTTAATGGACATTGTCAGATGATTAAGGTCCCAGTTATAGCTAGAATGTTTTTAAACAAGATAGGAGAAGAACCAGAGTATTATATGCCTATGAAGATAGAAGAGCTGTTTATGGAAAGGTGGAAGATCATGGTTTCAAGACCTCAATGTCAAGCTGTTAGAAATAAAGCATTGAAGTGGACTGATAAGGAATATGCTGAGCAGTTTGCTAGTCTCCGAAACTATGGTGCTGAGATAATGGAATCAAATCCGAATTCTACTGTGCTAGTTGAGACTGTGAGAAACGATGAAGGTGAAGATGTGTTCGACCGGTTCTGTGTATGCTTTGATGTTCTTAGAAGATCATGGAAAGCGACATGTAGAAAACTAATAGGAGTTGATGGCTGTTTTCTAAGAGGCAAAACAAAAGGATAGTTACTGGTTGCTCTAGGTCGTGATCCTGACAATGCTATTTATCCTATAGCATGGGATGTTGTGCAAGTGGAAAACAAACCTAATTGGTTGTGGTTTATTCAAAAGATCAAGGATGATTTGTGTTTAGAAGATGGTGATGGATATATATTGATCTCGGATCGTCAAAAGGTTGGGTCTTATGCTTTTTTTATGGTGACGAATGGTTATGTTTATATCTATGTCTTGTGATTTGGGGTTTAATGTCTATGTCTTGTGATTTGGATCTTTATGTTTCAGGGATTAATCAATGCTGTTCAGATAGAGTTACCAAAGATTGAGCATAGAATGTGTGTTAGACACATCTATGCGAACGTGAAGGAGAGGCATGTGACGAAGGATATGCTGAAGCCATTAATTTGGAATCTAGCATGGAGTTACAATATTGCAGAGTATAGGGAAAATCTTGATAGGTTGTTAAACTATGACTTACAAGTTCATACCGATATTGTGAAGACAAACCCTCCAAGTTGGTGTAGAGCTTTCTACAAATTAGGCAACTACTGTGAGGATGTTGAGAACAACTCCACATAATCTTTCAACAGCTCTATTGTTTGTGCAAGAGAGAAGCCATTAGTGCCAATGCTAGAGACCACTGCGCGACTTGCAATGGTGTGCATTGCAAAACGAAAGGCCAAAGCTCATGCACACAAAGGTATATATCCACCTTATGTGATTAATTTTCTTGCAGAGGAGCATCAAAAAGCTTCAGAATGCACGGTTTACCAAAGCACAAATAGTCAGTGGTTGGTTAACCTTGACGGATGTTCCTACCGTGTGAGCTTGGAGAAAATATCTTGTACCTGCATGAAATGGGATATCACAGGAATCCCTTGTGAGCATGGCTATGGTGTGATACTGCGTAAGAAAATTAAGGCTGAAGACTTTGTGTGTCATTGGTTTCATACAACCATGTGGAGGAGGACATATGAAGAGGGGTTAACTCCAAGTAGAGGAGCACGGTTTTGACCACATGGATCAGAGCCTTTGGTGCATGAAGCTCCTGAGCCACCGCAGCCTGGTCGCAAAAAGAAAAGTAAGAAGAATAAAAGGAAGAAAGTGAAAAATGAGTCTCTCGTGAAAAAGAAATCAAAGGTGTTGAAACGTATAATGCATTGTAGGATTTGTGGTGCAGCTAATCACAACTCTAGGTTTCACAAGAAGAAGGTATTTTAGCATTGAACTTTTTTGTTATTGATTCTCGGAATTTGTGTGAATTTTCATCTGGATTTTTCTGTATATGATAGGCTCCTCAAGGTGCATCTTCAGAAGACTTACTCACTCAAGGTGAATCTTCACAAGGCACTCTCACTTAGATGTAGAAAGGTGAATCTTCTTATCTTGAATAAGTTTTCATTTCGTGTCTTGGTGGTTTATTTGGTTGGTTATGATTGTTATTTGATGCCTAAATTGTAGTTATCTGTCTTGGTTTCACAGGGAATAGGCGTTAACTATAGGAGGACAAAGAGTAGAATTTGAGTCAGAGTGAAGAAAGAGTGCATAAGCTGTTTTTTGAGCGAAGTCTTTCTCTCATTTCTGTTTGATTTTTGGGTATTGGTATCTATGTATGCACTTGAATATTTTGCTTCTTTTCTCTGACTTTCGGGTATTGGTATGGTATTGGTATCTAGATGTGAAATCTATGTTTTGTTTTCGAGGATTGGTGTGATATGTAAACATCTTTGTCATTCTTATTTGTGAAATCTTTCAGATTAATCTCTTGAATATCTTATTAGCTTGCACAAACAAAAAGACACGATAAGCATGATACACAAATTCGATTATAATATAAAAAATTCAAGAGAGAACATGTTTTGATAAAAACCAACATAAAGATAGAGTGCTTCAACAAACAACAATCAACAACATCATAACAAAATACAAAGATAGACTCAACCTACTATTTTCACAAAACCAAACATCAACATATAGCCAATTACAACAACAACACTCATTTTCTTCATACTCTTTCTCAATTCCACCTTCATTTCCTCAACTCTTTCAAAAATCTCTTTCACTAGCTTCATTTCTAACTTCTCAAACACCTTATTCTCAATCTCCACACATTCTGTCTTCATCTCTTTCACCAGTTCTTCAAGACTTGAATATTTGTTTTGCAGTGTCTTTATTTCATCCAAAAAATCTTCATCGACCCACTTGAAAACGTGGTTGTCATTCGAGAGCTAGAAAATAGCAATGAGACTTTTTTTTTTGAATTTATCGACTTCACATGTATGGAAGCTTAAGTTTTGAATTTGAATTTACCTTCTTAGCTACTGCACACGCACAACGGTAGTAACGACGGTATGGATTGTTGTCCGATTTTGAAATCTTTGCTATGATTTGATCTCCACACCAGCATCTCTTTGGCACATCAATAAATCTTCCAGGCCGCCGCACACTGGATGATCCACTCGAAGCTTCAGATACATTGCTCATTTTTACAGCAATCTATAAACACAAAATCAAAACACAACTTTATAAGCTTCAAATCGACATTCTCAATGAAACTCAACAAAGCAAAATACAAAACTGGTGTGGAGATCAATTAAGGGAAACAATACACTTACACTCAATCAGTAGCAATCCCATATTCAATTCTCGAAAAGTCTCACCCAATATGATTCCCCCAATTCGATTTTTTTTAGGGTTCTTCTCTGTGTCGGGTTTTATCAGGTTTTAACGATGATAAAACGGGTCGGGTTGAAGTCGGGTTACATTCATTTCGGGTTTTGGCTAACTCGTCAACCAGGTTTATGATCGGTTTGGTATCAGCTAACACTGGTTAATGATTGTTTCGAAAAGAGTAACCGAATCGTGGGAAAATTGGTTTGCAATTTAAGTCTGTGTGGAATTGGGTTTACAACTTTATAATTAGGTGCAATTGGAACAAGGGCTAAAATCTCTGTAGACAAGGAGTTATATGATAGTTGAGAGGGGAAATAGCTCGTCGACCACAATGTTTATAAACCGATGGACCTAAACTAAAACAGGAAACACATCTCTTGACAATTGATATTTGATTGTCAACCCTGAACGATGATGTGTTATGGAGAACATGCCTGAATTCGTAACCTTCTGCATCACTATCTCCATAACTGATAAAAATTAAAAGTATGGTAACTATTTCAAGTCACGAGAACTTTCCTTATGATTAAATACAAAGAACCTATTAAGCCTGATAAAGACTCTTACATTATTTCCCTTAATTCAACAGCCTCTTGTAAATTAGGGTCATACATTAACCTTGATAATCCCACATTAAAACTACAGGCCAATCACTGAAAACACAAATAACAATATCATATATCACTGAGCTCAATAACCAACTTTCCATGAGCAACATATTGTATCAAATGATCTCACAAAATAATAGAATGTTATGAATTTTAAAAATCTAACAAATAACTTATAAAC